TAATCAAAACACCGGGTGAAGAAGAAAAAGCTCCATTCCGACAGTCAACAGGATAAAGGTGTATCATTTACTCTACCGAAGGCAAGCTTAAAATAACAGATACACCAATATTCAGACAACATGTAAAAGATAACGAATTTTAGTAAATGATTTGTGCCGAATTTGGTCAGAGAACGAGATGTGTGTTCTTGCGAACGAAGTTAAAATTTATTTGCAAAATACCTATATGGTCTAAATACGCAAATGGTCGCGCCCGTTAATCACCAAACGAGTATATACTCATATGGTCCGACCATACGCGTATGGTCGGACCATATGAGTATACGTATATGGTCACGATCATACGCGTATGGTCCAAATACTCATATGGTCCTGAACATATACATTGAACATACTGTGAAATTTAATTTTACATAAGGTAACGAAACTGAGATTCCCTGTCAGAAGGATATGATAGTTTGCATTTATATGCGAAACTCTCGTATGTTTTATATTTATATTTTCAGTGTTTTTTTTTGTACATTATTGAGAATAATCCCTTTTAAGTCGGGTTTTGATTACTTGAAAATGTTCCCAAATTTGATAAAACATAAATTAACTATCCAAGTTATTATTAGGGAAAATCCAAACGATTTACGACGAAAAACGGCATGATTTGTACAAAACAACACGTAAATCTATATATAACAAAATGCAAATAAAAACCAAATGTGCCGTGCATAAGCAATTGAGTTGAAAATCTTCTATCGTGACTGTTAACAGCCAAGCACACATGTATGTCAGCTGATTCAATGTGGTGTAGCATGTTATCTGGATGACAAAGTTCTAAATAATGGTGGTCTATTGAGAAAAAACGATTCCACAAGTATTCTCTTTTAATTATTTCAACGAGATTCAATGATAACAGCCAACAGCTAATAATATGAAAAGCAATGTAATATGAAAGCTGGGAACATAATTCATCCATGTCACCAGAAGAGGTGTAATATTTAACCAGTATCTTTTAATGTCGGTACTGAAGCAAGTAACAAAGGGTTTGTCTCATACAAATGTTACATTGTAGATTAGTCTAATTATATATCCCACTTAACAGATGAGTACATGCTTTTGAATGAGCAACATTCCATGAATTACAGCATATATACATATATATATATATCTATATATATATATATATATATATATATATATATATATATATATATAAATAAGTCTAAATTGAAAACAACGTTCAAACCTATGATTGCGTTGGATAAAAACCGCAATTTTTATACGTGTGCATACAAAACAAATTTCTTGTTAGAGGGGTCTAAATACAGCACAAACAACATTTTCCAAAAGACCAAATAGTGAAAAAGAATATTTTAACAAAACGCTTTTGACTAACAGGTCGAACAACAAATGTTCTTAAACCCTGCTGACTGCCATTGGCGATTGCCAAATAAACGGATCACCGATGTAATAAATGGATCTTAATTATAAATTTAATACTAAACAGAAAACAATAAACTTGCGGAAAAGATGGTATACCGCAAACAAAAGGTGCAAAGGTTTTTGTACACCATATCCGGATTTCGACAATTAATGTCTCTTCAGTGATGTTAGGAATCGAAACGGTATTTGGAAGGCCTTAAAATTTACCTCAATTTAGGATAGACTCTTGAATTTTGAAGAGTCGAAATAGGATGAACGGATCATATAAACCCGAAGGCAAATATAATACAAGCCCAAACGAAAAAATGTAAATAAGTCTAAATTGAAAACAACGTTCAAACCTATGATTGCGTTGGATAAAAACCGCAATTTTTATACGTGTGCATGCAAAACAAATTTCTTGTTAGAGGGGTCTAAATACAGCACAAACAACATTTTCCAAAAGACCAAATAGTGAAAAAGAATATTTTAACAAAACGCATTTGACTAACAGGTCGAACAACAAATGTTCTTAAACCCTGCTGACTGCCATTGGCGATTGCCAAATAAACGGATCACCGATGTAATAAATGGATCTTAATTATAAATTTAATACTAAACAGAAAACAATAAACTTGCGGAAAAGATGGTATACCGCAAACAAAAGGTGCAAAGGTTTTGTACACCATATCCGGATTTCGACATTTAATGTCTCTTCAGTGATGTTAGGAATCGAAACGGTATTTGGAAGGCCTTATAATTTACCTCAATTTAGGATAGACTCTTGAATTTTGAAGAGTCGAAATAGGATGAACGGATCATATAAACCCGAAGGCAAATATAATACAAGCCCAAACGAAAAAATGTAAATAAGTCTAAATTGAAAACAACGTTCAAACCTATGATTGCGTTGGATAAAAACCGCAATTTTTATACGTGTGCATGCAAAACAAATTTCTTGTTAGAGGGGTCTAAATACAGCACAAACAACATTTTCCAAAAGACCAAATAGTGAAAAAGAATATTTTAACAAAACGCATTTGACTAACAGGTCGAACAACAAATGTTCTTAAACCCTGCTGACTGCCATTGGCGATTGCCAAATAAACGGATCACCGATGTAATAAATGGATCTTAATTATAAATTTAATACTAAACAGAAAACAATAAACTTGCGGAAAAGATGGTATACCGCAAACAAAAGGTGCAAAGGTTTTTGTACACCATATCCGGATTTCGACAATTAATGTCTCTTCAGTGATGTTAGGAATCGAAACGGTATTTGGAAGGCCTTATAATTTACCTCAATTTAGGATAGACTCTTGAATTTTGAAGAGTCGAAATAGGATGAACGGATCATATAAACCCGAAGGCAAATATAATACAAGCCCAAACGAAAAAATGTAAATAAGTCTAAATTGAAAACAACGTTCAAACCTATGATTGCGTTGGATAAAAACCGCAATTTTTATACGTGTGCATGCAAAACAAATTTCTTGTTAGAGGGGTCTAAATACAGCACAAACAACATTTTCCAAAAGACCAAATAGTGAAAAAGAATATTTTAACAAAACGCATTTGACTAACCTGTCGAACAACAAATGTTCTTAAACCCTGCTGACTGCCATTGGCAATTGCCAAATAAACGGATCACCGATGTAATAAATGGATCTTAATTATAAATTTAATACTAAACAGAAAACAATAAACTTGCGGAAAAGATGGTATACCGCAAACAAAAGGTGCAAAGGTTTTTGTACACCATATCTGGATTTCGACAATTAATGTCTCTTCAGTGATGTTAGGAATCGAAACGGTATTTGGAAGGCCTTATAATTTACCTCAATTTAGGATAGACTCTTGAATTTTGAAGAGTCGAAATAGGATGAACGGATCATATAAACCCGAAGGCAAATATAATACAAGCCCAAACGAAAAAATGTAAATAAGTCTAAATTGAAAACAACGTTCAAACCTATGATTTATATATATATATATACTTATCAATGACACCAGGGTTATAATTTTGTATAAATGGGGTATATTAGGCGGGCACCGTTTACTCTTTGACAATAGTACACCCTTTTCAATGAAAAAAAAAAATATCTAAAACTGGGCAACTAAAGTGTTTATCGAGGGTGCTTTATAATCATATTTTATAATCGCGCAAACACATTTGTGGACACAAACTGTACGTGATTAAATGTATTTGAAGCAAAGGGCACATTGTTTTAAATTTACTTACCGTCATATTTGAACTTCCAAACACTACAACCTAATTCGACAATAGTTCCGAATTAAATCGGGATATGTCGGGAGAAAATGAAAGTGTAATTGTGAAGAAACATTAGTTTATAAATGAAATTTTGATTTTGAAATAATATATTTTCTGATATTCAATTAATAAACCACGGGTGCCAAGTATATAAATGCAAATAAAGGTATATGTAAACATTTGTAAAATCCCTGTCTAAACCTGGATTGACATATGAAAAATATAGTAGAACACCAGCGAAAACTAATGTTTTAAAATGAATTGAATACGGGAAAAAAAATCATATTAGCATATTAACAAAATTATGTCAATAACATGAGTAAAAGAGGCAAAAGATACCCAAAGGTATGTCTAAAAGAGAGGCAAAAGATACCAAAGGGATATTCAAACTGGAAAGTCGAAAATACTCTGACAACGCCATGGCTTAAAAAGAAAAAGACCAACAGACAAACAACAGTACACAAAACACAACATAGGAAACTAAAGACTGAACAACACGAACCCCACCAAAAACCGGGGGTGATCTCAGGAGCTCCGGAGGGGTAAGCAGATCCTGCTTCTCATGTGGCACCCGTCGTGTTGCTTATGTAAGTACAAACCCGGTGATAAGTCTAATTCGGTAGGTCAAATTCAGGGAAAGGGGACAAGATTGTAGTTACGACAAATGGAACATATCCGTCGTCATCTGTGAAACAGATATTCCATAACGGTCAACCAACTTTTGATGGCGTCCGTAAAATTTACGTAGGGATGATTTCAAATTCACCACTCGGAACTCTTGGTTTAATAGCTTCCTTGCAACCCTCTATCAAACTCATAATTCGATGACAATCTGACAACGCCCTTGCAAAAAATAAACCAACAAAAACTGACCAAAAGACTTACACAAGTGTTCAAACCACAACACGAATCCCCATACACAAAAAACCATGGGTGATCTTCATATCTCCAGAAGGGTAAGCCGATTATGATATAATTTGGCATCCTGGTGTTGCTCATGTAAGTTCAAATACGTCTTATAGGAGAACTGCCTGATGTATGAAAACCTTACATTTAATTAAATCATTTTAATTTTAAAGTAGTATGATATACGTTAAATTTTAATAGTCAAAGTATGATGTCTGACTAGAAGAGAATTGTGTTGTAATGTTAATTGCACTAATATACATCTTTGAAATTTTTTTAATACAAGTTACATTTCAGTAGCGCTTTTATTGAAGTTATCAATGTTCCTCAAAGAAGTTCTCCATACTTTTAAGACATTGTCTCATCTATATTATGTAATGGCTTAGAAATACATAATACTATAAATAAATGCAGATTTGAGGTATACATGTACTTCAATGAAACAGTACCTTAACGAAACAAAAAAAAAACAAACAAACAATAGTACTGTTGAAACAGATTCCCGTGTTATGAATACAATAAATTAGTAACCAGCAGTCATACAAACATGTGCACTGCCAAAATCATATCATATGTATCTGTATCTGCTTTCAATCACATGATAGCCAAATCTGCTGCTCTTGGCCTATTGTTACGTCGGATACGTTGTGGTGTAAGCATCAGAAATTTGCTGTCCTCATTGTCTGAATATAAAGTGTCATCACGTGATCTGCATTCTTCTGATAGTCCAGAATTAGAGTTTGATACGTACAACTTCCTAGAAGATAATCCGCTATTACTGTAGTGAACACCTCCAAATGTACACATATCCGTATAATTTGTTATTTCAGTGACACAAGTATGGCGTGTCGGTGTTGGAAAACGAATTTTAGTCCATGGACAACATAATTCCAATATCCCTCTTTTGAATTTAATATTAAAGAATCCATACAAAATAGGGTTAAGGGCACTTTGCAGTAAGGCAATGGTTTCTGAAAATACCATGACTGTCTTTGGAATCATATATTTGTAATCACTGTAGATGCGAATTAATGTAGTTACAAAATATGGCGTCCAACAAATAATAAATATGGTAATTATTGTAAGTGTCATTTTGACTGTTTTTATTTTAGCTTTTGATATGCTAGCAGTGTTTACTACAGTTTTTCTACAAGCCGGAATGTTCTTCAGTGTTGTCTCAAAACTTTGTCTCCAGACACACATGACCACCTTAATATAACAAAAAGATATGATAATAGAGGGAATAATTAAAATATAGGATGTCATAAATGATATGTACAACTTTCGTTGCCACTGAGCAGTGTAACCAAGACTACGACAACCATAACGAACGCTTCCATCCGGGAAACTAGCTTCAACGGTTTGATGAAATATGAAAAGTTGTGGAACAGAAAACACAAAAGACAATATCCAAGAAACAAGAATCATTCGTTTTGTTCTAGCTTTTGAAGTTCCGGCATAAAACCGAAGAGGACAACACAAAGCCATATATCTGTCTATACTCATTGAAGTCAGTATAAATGTAGTGCTGGATAACGTCACCACTTGTGAATACGTCAATAGTTTACATGCCACGTTACCAAGTATCCATTCTCCAAACACAACAAACAAAAGCTCTGTTGTCATAGTTATACAACACACCGCGAGATCACCTATGGCTAGGTTTATGATGAAAAGATTTACTCGACTGTTTCTTTTTCGCTGTCTTGTCTTTGTTAAAATAATTATAATAACCATATTTCCAATAAATGTCAAGGTCATTATGACGCCTAATGTCACAACCCTCTGTATAACGTCTGGAGTCCAGATTCTCCTTTTAACTTCTGGTAAGGCACAAACTGAAGAATTGCTATCACTATTGTTTAAACAATTCCGAAATGTCATGTTGCTGGATGAATTATTCAGCATCATATATCTGAAAAAATTGTAATAATCATAAAAAAAAATAAACATACCTGGTAAAGTTTTTAGACATTAGTTGTTAAAACACTAAACGTAGCAAGTATGGTACCTACTTAAGCTCTGCCTCTGAAGCCTTGCGGGGAAAAAGCTCGACATTTTAAAACTCATTTACAAAGCTGATTTTCAATTTTTTATATACTTTATATATATACTGCTGTGGTATAAGGTAGCATTATAGATACAGATCGCCCACTACATCGGTTTAAGTTCACTCCGAACGTACACACATTATAGCCAATAAACATCATCCAATATGGGCAATTAGGGAAATAGTTTGATTTCATTTCTATAAACGTTATTGTTCAATGACGCGGGTAAGATTGTTGACTTGAATATCATCTTGTGTTTATATGTTGATATTGTTCTTAATGATAAATTGCTATCACAGTAATAGTGGTGCTGGTATTAGTCTCCATCTTTAATTTGTGGTTGACAGATACTTCTTGCAGTAATCAGTAGCAAATGAGGAGTAAAGAAATTATGCATAATTCATTGAATATCTCCGGATATTTCTGGAGTACCTACGTCACAGTTTTACGCTCGTTTAGACCATTCATGGCTACTGAAACAACCAGGAATGATAGAAATACGTTCACTTTGCGTCTTTGATAAGCAATAGGATTTGCGTATGATTTAAAACAATACTACGGTTTAATGTCTGAACATTTTATTTGAAAAAACTTTTTTATTTGACAACATCACTGCAATCTTTACTATGTTATGTTGCGTTATTATTTTACACTGAAGTAATTTTGATTAATTTATTATTGATCAAACAATCAATCTACCGAAGTTGCGTTATTGCTACTAAAACTCGTGTTCATGCTAACATTTTAAAAATAACTCTGTTTAATGATGGAATAAAGATAAGCGAAACCTTTTAATGCATAAAATTGCATATTTAAACCATTGAATAAATAAGAAATAATTAACTACAGTTTATATTTCATATTAAATTATTCACAATTATTTTGACTTCAAACCTTATAGTTATTTCATCTTTATATCATGATTACAAACAGAATCAATAAAGTAAAACATGCCGTTTGTTTTCTTGTTTGAATTATTTAACAATTTATCATGTCGGGGCTTTTGATAGCTTACTATGAAGTATAGTTTTTTTATTTCATTTTTGAAGACCGTGCGATGATTGGTAGTTGCTTACATCCATGTCCATTCCATTGGTCTCTGTTGATATCGTTTAATTTGAAATCATACATATACCACATCTCTCATTTCAATAATGTTTATGCTTCCATTAATATATAGGATTAATTGATAAACCTAGTATGACATATCTCAAAGTAAATGTCTTTGATAAATGGTATACTTATTTAAACTGTGATTATATTTCACAAAACAAAGCGATATATAACTATTGATAAAAGAAATGGAACAGCAAATATCAAAGATGACCTTTTTGTACGTATGACGACAGGACTTGCACTGACGAATCGAAGACGGACTCAGCTCTTGAAAGTCAAATTAACTTTGTTTATCATTTCCGATTTCATTCAACGTTTTATCTTTTTATCTCTAATTTCCCGGCGTCTGAAGTTTTCAAACTGTTAAAAGTCTATCGGTGCAATCAATGTGTCAATTAACCTTGACCAATGATCACCTTTTCATTGATAATTTTACAAATTTTTAAAGTATAAAAATGTATAAGGACAAATACTAAGAATACTACCGGGTATAACACGTAATTAAGATGATAAACAACGTCAGTACTTAGAATCTTTACTTCAAGACCATCATATATTATTAGTGAAGTTGATACGGAATATTTATCAACAAGGTCTTGGTATCATCCGATGAAGTTTGTTGGAGGGGTTTGAAGATTTATCTTTTTACTTGGCTTCTTAACTTCGTTTTGGCATGAATGTTATGAACAAGCCTAAATTTTATCTTAGTAAATACAGTTTACATGTATTGTTTCAAAAGCAAATTTTCTGCTGAATCTCGACAATTAGAGAGACTGGCGATTCTCAGACAGTTGAATGGTACGCTGTACCTGATAGCTTTTTGCATTTAGAAAGTTTCGTTTTTTACCGTCATATAAGAAATACACATGCTGAACAGTTATGTCGATCGTTTGACTATATTTTATCAGAAATGCCTTAACAATAATGTTACAGATTACTTATGTCGTCTTTTAAACTAAATAAGTTATAGGTTCCTTGATTGATATTTTAGATATAGTTTTTAATTTCCATTCTCAATTTTTATTGTTTTAAAAAAAATAATGATAACTAAAACAATAACACTGCATTAAACCAGTTTATAACAACAACTATATTCCAAAAGTAAATTTCGTAGTGACATTTCGTTATTCAACATTGCTTATGCATACAGTAATGTTAAGGATAAATTGATTAACATAGTATGACATATCTCAAGGAGAATGTGTTTGAGTAATGGGGTATACATTGTACTTATTTCAATTATGAAATTATTCACAACACAGAGCGATATTTAACGATTGATAAAAGAAATGGACAGGAAGTAAAGATTACCCTTTTGTACGTATGACGACATGACTTGCACTAACGAATCGAAGACGGACTCAGCTCTTGAAAATCAAATTGAATTTGTTGATCATTTCCGATTTTTTCCCCACTTTTTTCTCTAATTTCCGGGAATCGGAAGTTATCAAACTGTTTAAGTCAATTGGTTCATTTCATGTATCACTTGACAATGAGAGAGAATCAATTTCCGCCAAATTTTCAATGGTTAATATCTCAAATACAAGAACACAGATCATGCATTTTTCTGCTTTTTATGTTCCGTTATATATATGCTATCAATTTAAAGCAATCTTTTTAAAAGCTTGTTATTGTGAAACAGAGTAGCGAACATCCTTAACGACGCTCCATGGCTTGCTCCATTTTGGAATTAACAACGACTATACTTATTGTGATTAGCGTCTCTTCAGTGTTATGGTGGCAATGTCGTTCATGTGAACATACATAGCTTTTTAATGTTTTCGACATACATGTTTGTGTTTAAACATAAAAATAATTACAACAATTACACTGCTTTATAGCAGTTAACATCAAAACTAAATTTCCAAAGTAAATTTCATAGGAAATCAAGAGTAAAAAGGACCTATTAATAGCAATTCTCTGTAACCACCAACCAAGTTGCGGCACGAATAGTTTCAGATTTTTTTGAAATTTTGTTTGTTGGTAGCTATCGACAAATATGTAAGAAATATATTGATAAAAAACGTGTTAATGTCCCAGTTGCCATAGTTACGTGTCCCTTGGATTTTGGCTCAAAATTGCATTTTTGAGGTTTAAAATTTACCATTTTCAGGCAGTTATCATACAAATAAGAAGATTGTGGTATGAGTGCCAATAAGACAACTCTCCATCCAAGTCACAATGTATAAAAAGTTAACAATTAAGGTCAAAGTACGGCCTTCAACTGGGAGCCTTGGCTCACACCGAACAGTAAGCTATAAAGGGCCCCAAAATGACTAGTGTAACACAATTCAAACAGGAAAACCAACGGTATAATCTATATAAAAAACGAGAAACGAGAAACACTTATGAACCACACCAACAACATCATGCACACATTTCAATTTTGTTGAATATTGTAACATTTGTTCATTAAAATATCACATTTAATTAGTTAGATTAAAGATAAAAAATATATTCTAATGAAAAGGGGAGAAGTTGGCAAAACTTATTAAAATACCATTTACATTGAAGTTATAAATGTAGACTAACATTGTTGCCTAGCAATAATATATAACTAAAGGTTTGGGATGCAGGTTCCTGGGGTGGTTGCTAATGAAACCTTAAAGTGAAATTCTTATTATTTTGTAAAATAATTTAGACCTTGTTATTAAAATATCTCATAAACTTTGACAGAGAAAGGATGAAAATCAATTGAAAAATGTTGCGCATTCAATGAACCTTAGTTTGCTCCAAAGGTAAATGGTTATTAATGACTTTGATCTTGGACCTTGAATCTTTTTTATTAGATTTTTTTCAGAAATGGTTACACAAATACCCATGTTCAGAACGAATATTACTTTTTTTGGTAACAAGGTTAGATATCAGAGGTCAAGGTCATGTCAAAAGTTCTTAGCAACGACCCTTACTTGATATAAAGTACATACCAACCATACATATCTATATGATTCAGACTAATATAAACTGTTATATAGATTCTAATGGAAAGGCGAAGGGTCAATATCATTACCAAAGACTTAAGTAGCCATTCTCATATAGTTGGAAAATGCCTAGCAATCATAAATGATTTGATCCCTTCTCAACAAATTCTGAAATTTTGAAACAAGACTGTTATTCTTTCTTTCAATTAGAATATCAAATTCCTTTTAAGAACAGTATTTACTGACATGATTTTACTCATTTCTATATCAGTTAATCATCAGCCAAGTTGTCTCCTGTTCTGACTTAAAACATCATAGATATTTTGTGTGTATACTTAGTGTTCATGAAACTTTAAATCATTCGAAATAAGTTCTAAGGCTGTTTTCCCATGCATATATGTATATATATATAAATATATATATACAAGTCTAAATTGAAAACAACGTTCAAACCTATGGTTGCGTTGGATAAAAACCGCAATTTTTATACGTGTGCATGCAAAACAAATTTCTTGGTAGAGGGGTCTAAATACAGCACAAACAACATTTTCCAAAAGACCAAATGAGTGAAAAGGTATATTTTAACAAAACGCATTTGACTAGCAGGTCGAACAACTGATGTTCTTAAACCCTGCTGACTGCCATTGGCGATTGCCAAATAAACGGATCACAAGATGTAACAAAACAGATCTTATTATTAAATTATTACCAAACAGAAAACAATAAACTTGCGGAAATGATGGTATACCGCAAACATGAGGTGCAAAAATTTGTACACCATATCCGGATTTCGACAATTAATGTCTCTTCAGTGATGTTAGGAATCG